CTAGTACCATTTGTTGAATATAGTGTCTTTCCCCCCTTTATGTGTGTATTTGCTTGGTCAAAGTTCAGTTGACTGTAAGTATTTGGTTTTATGTCTGGTTCTCTGCTCTGTTCCATTTGTCTATGTGCCTATTTTTATAACAATATCATGCCGTTTTGGTGAATCTAGCCTTGTAATATAGTTTGCAGTGGGTAATATGATGCTTCCAGATTTGTTTTTTGTTTGTTTGTTTTGTTTGTTTGTTTAATCTTGCTTTGGCTACATGGGCTTTTTTTGGTTCCATATAAATTTTAGGACTACTTTTTCTACTACTGTGAGGAATGATGATGATATCTTGATGGGAATTGCATTGAATTTGTATATTGCTTTAATCAGTATGGTCGTTTTCACAATATTGATTCTACCCATCAATGAGCATGGCAGGTGTTTGCACGTGTTTGTGTTGTGTATGATCTCTTTCAGCAGTGTCTCATAGTTTTCCTTTTAGAGATCTTTCACCTCCTTGTTTAGGTATACTGCTAAGTATTTTATTTTTGCAGGTATTGTAAAAGAGGTTGAGTTCTTGATCTGATTGTCAGCTTGTTCGTTTTAGGTGTATAACAGTGCTTCTGATTTGTGTACATTGATTTTGTATCCTGAAACTTTACTGAATTCATGTATCAGATCTAAGAACTTTTTGGGTGAGTCTTTAGGGCTTTCTACGTATACAGTCATATAAACAGTGAACAGCAACAGTTTGACTTCCTCATCTATTTAGATGCTTTTATTTGTTTCTCTTGTCTAATTGCTGTGGCTGAAACTTCCAGTACAGTGTTGAGTAGAAGAGGTGAAAGTGGACATTCTTTCTTTGTTCGAGTTATTACTTATTAGGGGGAATGCTTTTGACTTTCTCTGTCCAGTATAATGTTGATTTTGGGTTTGTAATAGATGGTTTCTATTATCTTGAGGTATATCTCTTCTAGTCTAGTTTTTCTGAATATCAGATCTTTGTGATGATACAATATTTTAATTTTAGATATCCCTCCCTCATACACACAAACGTATGTTACTGTTTTGATATAATTCTTTTTGTACCTTTCCTCCTTGTTTTGTGAAGATTTTTGTGGCATGGATTGCTGTGCTCACTGCTGCAAAAGGTGACCTAGGGTCCTGGGCAGCTGGTGGTCATGCCGAAAAGAGTCTCAGGTTCTTTTTTGTTTTAGTGATTTCTTGGATCTTGACAGTATCTCATGACTCCTCCTGAAAATGCTGCAGTATAAAAGAGCAAACAGCTTTGGAAATACCTTAGAAGCACCTTAGAATTAGGGTGATAACTGCTTTCATAGATTCTTGATTTTAAAACAATGAGCTTTTCTCAGGTGTTTTGCTTTTTGGAGCAAAAAGTATGGGTTGTGATTTCAATTCAGTGTCACTAGCAGTCATAACATTTGATGGGTGGAGGGTAGGAAGAGGGTGGAATTGAGATGTTTGAGTCTGATTTACATTAATAGAGGTGTAATATACTGCATTTCTTCATTTGGAAACATAGCAAAGGCTTTAAAAACACACAAAGAATGGTGATGCTTCTCATTGAGATTTGTTTAATTCAAGGTGGTTTACCTTTTGACTCTGTAGAGTACTTAGAAGACAAGGGCACCTTCCTTGGACTTAGAGCCAAGACATCAGAGAGCGTCCAGAACACATTAACATTAGCTTCTTTCTGAGAAAAATTACCTCTTCCAGGCCCTGAAACAAAAAACTATATACATTTGCTGTGAAGACTGAAAATGAACAAAGTTAGGAAAGAACAGCAAAGTCAGTGATTTAGCCAGATGGGTTTTTGTTGTAGGAGCACTTGATTTCTGGTCTGTTTTGTATAGTGTGTAACTACAAAATAGTACATTTTGTAGCAATTCAAAACCAAAGTTGCTAGCATCATTTTGCTATTGTGCCAGTTAATTATAGGATCCCATTAAATGTAAGTGCACTAACATCGAATGTAAAGGAAAGTTTGGTAAAGAATATTCCAGTAGGAAAAGAACAATATTCTGTTTCTGGGTGTGACCATCATCACCCTGGTGGGACCTGTTCTGGCTTCCAACCTTGACTGCTGGGCTCCTGGCTTGGCTTCTTGAATTCCTGTTTCCTGGTGTTTTATAACTCTCTCCAGAAGCATGTTTTTCTTTTTTAATTTTTTTAAGAAATAATGTTTTGTGGTTTTTTTTTTTTGGTTTTTGTTTTTGTTTTTTTTGAGACAGTCTTGCTCTGTCAACAGGCGCCAGGCTGGAGTAAATAATTGCCTCTAGAAAAAAGAAAAGAAAAAGAAAATGTTTTACCATTTGTTCAAATTTTCTTTTATATCATTTACAGAATTTCTAATTATTTCCTAATAGATACACTAGATGTTTATTTTTTTTATACTGAGACAAAAAAGATAAGAATTTTGAACTGTTTGGAATAAATTTTATTACTGTGAATTTGGCATTTTTTTAATTCATCCTAATAAATTTTCAGTACAATTTATTTTATTCTTTGTAGATATTCATAGCATTCAAAATAAATGAAAGTCATTATAATACTTGTGTCTAGTTTTATTGCCTCTACTATTGAATTGGCAGAGATCTCAAGCTAAAACCTTGGAAAACAGCTGTATCTGTCACCATTGTCTAGGATCCCAGACAAAATGCAAGAAATCCTAGTAATTTTCTTTAGAAGTAATGATTCCTTCTAGTTTGAAGATACACTATGGAAGTATAGAAGTATATTTTATTTCTTTCTATTTTTACTTTCATAATGGCAGAAAATACGATTAAATTTAATGGAAAGCCTCATATGCATTTATTAGAAAAATTATGTGTGTTTCACTTTGAATCCTTTGCAGTGAGAAAAGGACCCAACAAAATGGCCTTAAGAAATCCACATTTTCCACCCTCACAGCCGATCCCACCTTTATCCTTCTGGGTCATCATGAGATCCTCACGTTTGAGTCCCAACATGTGCCAAGTAACCATCACCCTCTTCTTCCAGAATGTTCCCGGACACTGACAGATCTTAGGCCTGTGTCTTAATTGTGTGACAAGTAGATAGGGTAGTTGTCGTCTTTGTCCTCATAAACTGTCATGGATTTCTCTTGATCTGGATAATAAACTGCACATTTGCAATCTCGACACAGCCAGGAGATGAGGAAAAGAGTCCTAAGGACTCAGGTGCACAGATCCAAGTAAGGGTAGTTTGTTTCTTTTCACAGTGTATGGATAGTCTTAAGATGTGCCCTCACTTTTGTTAGATCTGCTGAAGCACCTCCTCTATCTTATTGAGAGGTTCTCTGAGGTGACCCTAGATTGAGTGGAGGAAGTTCCTGGACCCCAGGTGCCCGGGAGAAAGAGTCAGAGCAAGGAAGCAGGGTGGGAGCTTGAGTCTGGCCCAGCAAAGCTCAGCAGTGAGGTCACTGCCATCTTCTGGTGGCTCTGAGGCTCCGTCACCCCTCGATCCTTTCTGTCTTGGCAACATTATGTTAAGAGACGCTGTTCAAGACAAGTACGTATCTATGCTGAGAGGATCTCAGTGGAACCATGACTTTTTGGAACAATCTGTGATAAGAGGTGGAAGATGGGGAAGGCTGAGTCCTGTGTCCTATGAAGACCTTGAGAGCCAGAGCCGAAGGCGAGCTCAGTAAGAGAGAAGGCATGCTGGAAGCCAATCATTTATGGAATGGTTTTCAATAACAGATATTCATACGCACCACTAAATATACCTTTGGAAACTCATAAAGGGATTTGTATCTTTTTTCTTTCTTTCTTGGTGATGGAGTCTCGCTATGTGGAGGACACTGGTCTCAAACTCCTGGCTTCAAGCAGTCCTCTTCGTCAGCCTCCCAAAGTATTGGGATTATAGGCATGAGTTACCACACCTGGCACCTGGGAATGTATGCTTTTAGAAATTCCTCCCAACTCTGTCTGTATAAATCAAGTTTTATAATTTTTGCTGTGGCGTGAGATTTTCAATCTGTTTCTGAGTAATTGTGGGGTTTTAAATGGAAATTTAGGAGAGTAGAATCATGGAATATGACCTGAGATCATTTTAAATGGAGATCCCTAGGAATAATTTTATAATAATAAAAGTAGGTTCTTTCCAAACATTAATGATAATTTTAAAAAACTCATGTACAGCTGTTAAATACTGCCTATCTGGCACCAACACAAGTTTCTGACTTAGTAGGTTTAAGTTGGAGAATTGCTTTTTTTTTTTTTTTTTTTTTTTTTTTTTTCTTTCTTTTTTTTTTTTTTCTTACTTTTTTTTTTTGAGACGGAGTTTCACTCTTGTTACCCAGGCTGGAGTGCAATGGCGCGATCTCGGCTCACCGCAACCTCCACCTCCTGGGTTCAGGCAATTCTCCTGCCTCAGCCTCCTGAGTAGCTGGGATTACAGGCACGCACCACCATGCCCAGCTAATTTTTTGTATTTTAGTAGAGACGGGGTTTCACCATGTTGACCAGGTTGGTCTCGATCTCTTGACCTCGTGATCCACCCACCTCGGCCTCCCAAAGTGCTGGGATTACAGGCGTGAGCCACTGCGCCCGGCCTGAGAATTGCATTTTTAACAAGCCCCCCTGAAAATGCTCCCACTTCAGTAATAAAATATTAAGTCAGCCTCCATGGTCAAATTAATGAATGAGCATGTACCTGTTAATTCTCTCTGAATAAGAAGTGTCTTGCTGGAGCACTGGGGCCTCTGTAACTCACTGTAAGCTTATATATTTTGTAGATAATTCTGTCTCCACATTATTCTAGGTAGAGAGGGAGAGAGGAAGCACAGCCATGGAAGTCACACTGGGGAGGTGGACACATTCGGAGAGACTGGATGAGGCACCTGGCGGTGAACCCCTGCATAAGAGACTGGGGCAAGGGGACTCCTCACTCACGGCGTTGACCATTTCCACCCTCTCCCTTTCCCTCCTGACTCTTAAGGGCTGAACTGTTCTGAGTATATAAAGAGGTTTTAGTTGCACTTCCTCATAGGTTTAAATAACTGTGGAAATGCCACTACCCATATACAGCATACAGTAATAATCAGTTTCATCATCTGCCTGAGCCCCCTTGATGGTGAGGGCAGCTTTGTTCCCAAGGATGGAGCCAGAGAAGCGATCAGGGACCCCAGAAGGGCGAGTGTTTGTGCTGTAGATGAGCATTTGTGGAGCCTGGCCTGGGGTCTGCTGGTACCAGCTCGGGTAGTGACTGGTAGAGACTGAGCCAGAGCTCAGGCCACAGGTGAGTGTGACTGTCCCTCCAGGGGACACTAAGTACGATGGCTCCTGGGTCACCACAGTCTCAGAATCCACCCCTAAAACCAACAGGAGAGACACAGTTGTTATCATAAGGATGAGAGTAACCTGGACCCTGTTTTGGGTGGTTCCCACGATGATAGAGTCCCTTCCCCTGACCTGAGCCATAAGCAAGTAGTCCGAGGAGAAGCTTGCAAGCATTTTCCTGGGGAGAAAAAAAAATGCTCACAAGGATGGGGTTAGATTTAACCATAAAACAAGATTATGTGGCAGGAGGGAAAACACACCCACCTCCTTTGGTCACTCAGAAATTGGGGGAGCTAATCTGGGAAAAGGCACCAACGCCCGTTCATCAGTGTCTCACTCCTGTGGGGTCATGTGTCTGTGTGAGGTCTCAGCAGCTGCCTCTCTCAGTGTCTCCCCAGGGGACAGCAGGGTGAAAACGGGGGCAGGAAAAGAGGAGAAGCTGATTTGCACAAAGAACTTTTTTATCCTGTTGGGTCCGGGGAGACATGAAAAGGCTCTGAGGAAAACAAACCCCAGCTGAGAAGCCTGAAGACACTTAGCCTTCGTGAGTGTCCCCATCATGGCCTGGATGATGCTTCTCCTCGGACTACTTGCTTATGGCTCCGGTCAGGAGAAGGGACTCTATCCTTGTGGGAACCACCCAAAACAGGGTCCAGGTTACTCTCATCCTTATGATAACAACTGTGTCTCTCCTGTTGGGGAGTGAGTAGCAGGCCCCAGCATCCTTTGCGTACACCCTATTGGAATCTCTTTGATGACTGAGGAAGATGAAGGAGAGAGGAATCCTGGCCATGGCAGAGATGGCCCCAGTCCTCTAACTTTTGAGGAACTTGCTGTTTCTGCAATTGAGACCTCTCTTCCCCAAGTGTTTATAATTCTGTCTTTGTTAAATTTCAGCATGTGCACTTGTTCCTCCTATGTGATTGTCTGTCTGTCTGTACCTGGACAACCACTCCATCCCCACAGGATGCAATAACAGCACCACTGCCCACTGGTATTGTAAACCTAGTGCCCATCACTGAGCTCTGCTGGGGACATTCTACGTGGCAGCTGCTGTAGCTTCTGTTCGGGGTGCAGGCGAGTTTGCCCCTTCATCCCAGGGAGGCAGATACAGAGGGTGGCTGAATCAGGACAGGTTAGGAGAAAGATGCTGGAAAAATAGACACCCATTATGACCTGAAGGAAGGAGAAGAGGGAAGGACATTCCTGGCATGAGTTTTGGAGTTGGTGTCGGTGACCTGGAGGATCAAGATGCTGAAGACCATCCTACCCCATGCAGTGGAGGAGACTGAAGAGGAAGACTGAGGTTGTCTGCTAATGGCTTCCCTTTTCATTTTTGACCATTCTTATTAACTTGGTAATATTAATACACACCTGTGGATTTTGGAGGGAAGGAACCTTTTAGCAATGAGCTAAATTAATCTCAGGCTCAGTCCAGACCTACCGAGTCAGAATTCACATTCTCCAGGATCCCGGTGGATCTGTGGTTTGGACTTTGTGGGAGAAATTATGATAAAGCTGAGCAACTTCTTCTTGACTCATTAGTTAATTCGCGTTTTTTCAGAAATGTCTATTAAGGGCCTTTGCCCAGTTTTAGCTTTGGCATTAGTGTTGTTTTGGTTTTGTCTTGGTTTTTTGGTTTTTTCCCCAAACACTGTACTGCCAGTGTCTTGCACATGTTAGGTAACTACTGCTTTCAGAGATGGTTTTTCAGATCTGTCTCCAAATCTGTAGGACATATTCTCTTTCGATTCATTGGTATCATTCTCATGGAACACCTCTAAAGGTTTCCCTAGTCCTACCTATTTATATTTGCACGAGTTTGTGACGATTTTGGTGTCCCATCACAGAAAAAGGAAAAAAGATTGCATTGGCTGTGTGTTTCTTCCTTCTACTTTTCCTTTTTGTTTTCTGCAATCTGTGTGCATAGATTCAAGTTTCTCTGAAGTAAATGCTCACCCTATATTTTCTTTAGGAGTTTTGTATTTTTCAGGTTTGGGTGGAGATCTTTACATTGATTTTTGTGTCTTGTGTAACGTAACATGAGGACCCATTTCAGTGTTTTGCAAGTGGAAATTCATTTTACTCAAAGACAATTACAGAACAGACTTGTCTTCACTGTTGTCATGTTTGGTGTTCTCTTGAAAAATACATTCACTGTGTGTAATTCGGGGCTGCATTTTTTGCTTTCTCATTTTTCCATAGGTTAGTCTTTCTGTGTGTTTGCCAGTAAGGGATTGTTTGGATCCCTATAGGTTTTATTTGATTTTTGTTTATGGCTCTTAAGCGTGTGTGTGTATGTATAATAATTTCTACTGTTATTATAGATTAAAGGGTACACACACAGTTACATTTGTTGATTGCATGATGTTGAGTCTTGGGGTCCCAACAACCTTATGACCCAAGCAGTGAGCAGAGGACATGCAAGGCGGGTCTTTAGGATGCAATGCCCCCTCCCTCCCATTTGCATTTTCTTTTTGGTCTGGTAGTCATTCCCAGTGTCATCGTTTCTTTCTTTTTTGTTTGTTTGTTTGTTTGAGACAGAGCCTCACTCTGTCACCAGGCTAGAGTGCAGTGTCATGATCTCGGTTCACTGCAACCTCCACCTCCTGGGTTCAAGTGATTCTCCTGCTTCAGCCTCCCAAGTAGCTGGGATTACAGATGCTGCCACTACGCCTGGCTAATTTTTTTCTATTTTTAGTAAGTAAAGGATTTCACCGTGTTGGCCAGGCTGGTCTCGAACTCCTGACCTCATAGTTCATGTGCCTCGTCCTCCCAAAGTACTGGGATTACAGACGTGAGCCACCGCGCCATTCCCTTCTTTATGTTCAGGTGCATTCATAATTTAGTTTCCACTTATAAGTGAGAATGTGTGGCATTTGGATTTCTGTTCTGGCCTTAGTTCACTTAGGATGATGACCTGCAGCTCCATCTATGTTGCTGCCAAAAATGTGATTTTTTTTGTATGTGTCAGCATGTGGTGTTTTATGGAGTATGCATACCATATTTTCTTTATCTTTATCCATTGTTGATCAGTGCCTAGGTTGATTCCATTTCTTTGCCATTGTGAATAACACTGCCATGAACATACAAGTGCCTGTGTCTTTTGGATAGAAGGATGTATTTTCTTTGGGTAGATCCTCAGGAGTGGGATTGCTGGGTTGGATGGTAGTTCTAAGTTCCTTGAGAAATCTCCAAACTTCTGGCCGGGCGCAGTGGCTCACGCCTGTAATCTCAGCACTTTGGGAGGCTGAGGCTGGTGGATCACGAGGTCAGGAGTTTGAGAGCAGCCTGACCAACATGGTGAAACCTTGTCTCTACTAAAAATATAAAAATTAGCTGGATTTGGTGCCACATGCCTGTAATCCCAGCTACTCAGGAGTCTGAGGCAGGAGAATTGCCTGAACCCGGGAGGCGGAGGTTGCGGTAAGCCAAGATCATGCCACTGCACTCCAGCCTGGGCAACAGACTGAGACTTCGTCTCAAAAAGAGAAATCTCCAAACTGCTTTCCACAGTTTCTGTACTAGTTTGCCTCCCAACCAAGACCATATTAGCATTTCCATTCCTTAGCTGCCTTACCAGTGTCTGTTCTGTTTGTCTGCATAGTCATCGCCATTCTGGGTGGTGTGACACGTATCTCAACCTGCTTTTGATTGGCATTTCTCCATTGATGAGTGAGTTTAAGCATACTTTCCTGGTTGTTGGTCACTTGCACATTGTCCTTCTCAGTGTGTGTTCTCGTCCCTTGCCCATGTGTTAATGGGACTTTTTGTTGCTTTTTGCTAAATGATTGGCATAAGGTCCTTGAAGATTCTGGATATTAGACCTTGGTCAGATGCGGTTAGGAAACGTGTTCTTCCACTCTGTAGGCTATTACTCTGTTGCCAATTTATTTTGCTCCATGGCAGTTCTTTAGAGTGCTAAACCTGACTTGTCAATTTTTGTTGTCATTTTCTTTGAGGACATAGCCAGATAGATTATTTACCAAAACCTATGTGGAGAAAGGTGTTTTGTATGTTTTCATGCAAGATTTTAATAGTTTGAGGTCTTCTGTTTAAATCTGTCATTCATCTGGAGTTTCTTTTTGTGCCGGGTAGAGGTGGGGCCCAGTGTTATTCTTCTGCCCATGGCTAGCCACTTATCCCAGCAACATTGATTGAATAGGGCATCCTTTCCCCCTTGGTTATTGTTGTGGGTTCTGTTGAGGATCCGATGGTTTTTGGTGTGTGGGTTTACTTCTGGGTCCTCTCTTGTGTTCTGTTGCTCTGTGTGGAAGCAGGTCCCCAGATTTTCCAAGAAATTTGAACTCAGTGGGTGAGATGCATCTAATGTAGTCCGGATATCTCAGGATTGCTTTGGAAGAAATTCAGGGTGTTTCACGGTCCCATGTGAATTTTAGCATCATGAATTTATATTTCTTTAAACAAACTTGTCAAATAGTAAAGGAATAGAGCAGGAGCGTAGAACAAAATGTTTTGGTCTTTGCCTACATTATGGAATCATGAAATCAGAGTGTTTAGGGTCTCTGTTATTTCATACCATTGTTTATTTTGTGGCGAGAAGCTTCCGTATCCTTCTTCAAGAAGTTTTGAAGATGCAATGATACTGTTAACTCTGGTCACCCTGCTGTGGAATAGAACAACAGGATTTCCTTCCTCTCATCTGTGTGGAACTTTGTACCCATTAGCTCCCATGATGGAATTTTTATTGTATTTGGCTGAAGAATGTTCCAGTGTCTATGCATGGGACAGTTTCTTTATCCCTTCATCTGCAGATGGACAGGTAGGCTGATTTCTTATCTTGGCTATTCTGCATAGAGCTGGATTCCACTTGGGAACTCAGATGATCTCTTCCGTGGCTTGATTCTACTACTGTATATATGCCTAGTAGTAGAATTGCTGGATGAAATGATAGTTGTAGTTGTAAGGTCTGGAGGAACCTCCACGTGATTTCTTTAGTGTGGATACTAGCTTATGTTCCCACGAATTGTGAAGACAAGTTCCCCCTCTGTGGAAATCCACACCACCATTTTTTTCTTTTAATATTTTTAAACTTTTTTTTGTAGTATTCAACCCATCTAGAATGAGGTGGAATGTGAGTGGTGGTTTTGTGTGTGTGTGTGTGTGTGTGTGTGTGTGTGTGTGTGTGTGTGTGTGTATGTG